AGCTGTCAGTTATCTACAGTTTGTGGCTGATTCCTCCAGGCTTGACTGTACCCAGGATGGGCCAAGCTACTCTGCACAGCTAGGTTTTAACAATAATAGCTCTAGGGGTATGTCAGCAAATGACCCAAGTAACTGCTTGATCTACCTCTGTCAGCCTTAGCCTAGTCATGGACCTGACTTTTTTTTAATAGGGCTTCTGGTGGGGTTAGGGAACTCCTGGATCTCCCATGTCGGGTGCCTTTCAGACTTCAGGAAAGATGGTAGGTGTGGTCCCCCACCTCCATGCCACTAGTCTGAGTCTGTTCCGGATTATTTCCCTATACTTGGTTGGGGGTCAGGGTGGCAGCGCCCAAGTAGGCTAATGGATGGGGCCTCCAGAGTCGAGATTTTGGGACTGCCAGGAACCAAGAATGTTTCTATAGCTCTTCTTTGAGGAGGAAGCACCCATCTATATACCGGCAGAGTGTATGGCATGGCTGTGCCCTACAACCAGTCTCTGATACCCCCTGAGCTTGTATATGTTGCTGTCTCTTCAGCAAGGGTTAAAATGAAGGATGGGGAAAAAAGAAAGAGTAAAAAAAAAAAAGCCCTACACAGAACAAAAACCCAAACAAACCAAATAAAAGGAAAAAAATTCAAAACAAAACAAAACAAAAACCTGAACAAACCAAATAAAAGGAAAACAATTCAGTCTGTGGTGAGCAGGATTCCATAGGGCAGGTGGGATAGGTGATATCCTATAGGGTCTGGTAATTGCTTTCCCCATGGGAGGGTCTTGGTATTCTCAAGCAAGATGGTCCTGCAGAATCCAGGTACACCCTGGCAATGAAAGCCTCACAGCTGCTCCCCCATGTCTCTCCCCAGAATCTCCCATTTAGACTTTCCTTGCCAGACTGCAGATCATGCTGCCTTCCTTTCACTGGGGCCCAAGGTGAGCAGATGTGAATGCAAGACCTGTGCTTCGGCCCTTTTAAAGGTTAAAGAAATAAAATAATAGCTTTGTCTCCAACAGGTTTTGTCTTTCCGCCGCAGAGGAAAACACTACACCCTTTCACTGTAGCATGCTGCTCTGGTCAGCTGATCACAGCACTGGCACGCTCTGTGCTTGGTGGCCCCATTTGTGGATCTAGCTTCTTTTCTCTCAAGGGGAAGTTCCCACAGTGTTTGTCCACTGTCTTTGTGAAAATGAGCTCATAATTGACCCCACCCTTCCTACCCATCTCAAGGTGATTAAAAGTCTCTTTTTTAGGTGGTATTCAGTTTATTTTGGGTGATTGCTCCCCTCTTTAGTTTTATTTCCAGTTTGGTTCTGGGAGGAGGTCTCTTACCTATCCTCCTACTTTGCCGCCATCTTGCCCCTTTAAAATCTCTAACTCTTCAGTAGCAGAGGATTAGGGGGTACGTGTGTACACATGGCAAATTGCTTCTTTTATTTTGAAGAGTGAATAAAGTTCTATTTTGTCACTTTTTTGTTGCATCTATGGGTACTAGGATCATATTCTTGTCCTAAGTCCCTACATTCCTCAGTCAGTGACTTTTATCTTATTTACTGATATTTATAAACTAGATGGATGTGATCTGAGCTCTAGAATTTGCTAGACACTGATCTCTTATTTAGAAAGTAGATAGCTCCTGCAAGGAGATATAACACACTTCTCTGTCAGTCAGGTCCTAATAGATTTCTAAAACGAGGCTGTCAGTTATAATTAGAAGAGGAACTCATATTTTGACATGACATTTAACCTTCCAGGAGGGAGTGAACATGCCACAAAGGTGAGAAATGTTTGAATCTCCTCATATAAACATATTTATACCTGTCATAATTTATCATATCAGTGACAGCAGCAAGATGGCACAATATACTGCACAATAAAATCACTATATTGCTTTGTGAAAATTACATTGCATTTGATCAGAAAAAAATGCTGAATTGTGTATTGGTGAAACATTCTTCATCATTCTATCATGGAAGAAAGTCAAATAGTGAAACTTCAATGTACTTGCAAAGTCCATTAATACATAAACCTAATCACACACAAACACTAATAAACTTTATCTTACAAAAATTGTTTCATGGAACAAATTATTTTCCTTTTTACTAAAAGAAGGGCTCTGGATGAAATGCTTTGTATTTGCTATAATTTTGGTATAGCATTATACTTGATGCACAAGCCCCAAACCAACATTAGTCGTACCACACTGAGTTCTTTATTATCACAAATACATAGTCTTAAAACCATAAATGTTCAGATTCATTAGGCAGATGGTAGCTACTGAATATCTTAAACTGGGGCTAGTCAAATTTAAACAGAATTTGATAGTTCACCCATTTTTGTAAAGAACTTGGATAAATATAAATTAAATTTGATGACATTTAAAAATATTTGAACAGTTCTATTAGATAATTGATTGATTCTGATGTGTCCTTTTTTTGCTCCTCTCTTCTTCCAGGTCTCTCCAAGGGAGTCTGTTGCATTAAGTGACCAAATAAGAAATGAACTAACAGACCTGGACCTCTAACAAGCCTTTTCACTGACTTATAGGCTCTGGTTACAGAGTAGAAAAAGCTGCACCTCTGCATATTTTAAATTATGAAAAGGATCTGTATGTATGAGGCCACAGAATAGAGAATATCTTTTTTATTCTCATTGGCTTTTTTCATTCAAGACCAACACTTTTTAAAGGGTATTCCAAAAAACACTAATCTTATAGAAAAGGCAATGTGATCAGGAAATTTGGAGCAATAATAATGTTGCAGGACTTTTTAATGGGAGTAATCTCATTTTAGTTATCATATTTAAGAATATTATCAGGTTTTATGTAAAATTTCACATTTGTGGTTCTCTTGAAAATTAAAGGTATGTTAATACAGTTACCATATTTTCACACAGAAATAACTTCTTGTACCTTCTAATTAGGCCAAAAATGAGCTCTCCTTTAGTCAAATGACTACCCAACATGCCTGGATTCTGGCAGATTTTTACTTGGCTCCCACTGTTCTAGTCTTTCTAGAAGACGTACAGTATCTTTTCATGTATTAATGGCTCCAGAAATTCCCTCAGTAAATATTTCTATTTTATTTTGTTTAAAAGTTGGTCCCAAGTATATTTTGGAATATACTATTGTAGATAAGTCTTTGAATTATCAATTACAACTTTTACTCAGAAGTGTACACATGAAAGGAAATTTCTAATATATTACTTGGTAGTTGTCTGTGAACCATGAATTCAAGTAATTCTTATTTTCTGGTATAAATGTTATGCTACTTTCTAACAAGTAACTGAAAATATTTAGGAAGCCTAAATTTTGCAAAGATAATTCTATTTCCATTTCTGGATGGTTTTGTAACCATTCAAGAGGTAGAATCTATCTAGTTGGAGTGTTCACACATTAAATGAGACCTCAATGTACATAGCAGAGATGAAGAAATTTTGGGATTTTACCTGAGGCTTAACATTAAAATGTCCAGACTAGGGACTCACTGTGATGCTCATCTAATAAGAGGCCCTAAACAACATACATTTCAGGAAAATGGCTTGGGAGAAAAAAATAGATATAATTGCAATATGATAAGTAATTGGAGCATATAGTACTATTACTCTATCTCCAGTTAAACTAGAACTTAAGTAGGTATTTCCCTCATATATGTATCAGCTTAGTAACTCTCAAAAAGAGAAGATGGGCAACAGGTACTTTTTGGGAGGTGTGCCCCATTTGTATCATCCAAGTGCTCACTGTGAAAGCCCTAAAATGATATTTGACTTTCATCTTGCTGGTTGAGTATCTGGCAGTTATAATAATGGGTTTCTGAGTTTCCCAATATCAGGGTTGGAAAGTGTAGTTGTAATGGCAATGAAGATTTCACGAAAAAAAATTCTGACTGACTTCAAATCTCTTGGGTATTCTCTTGATTTAGCCATAATGGACTCAGGAAAAATAACTGGCAAACAAAGAGGACAAGTAAGTCTAGAAAGAAGTTATTTACCACTTTAATAGGGCCATCCAACATTTGGTCACATAGATTATTCTGAAACCCAATTGCTTTAATGGTCTTCCTAGTTCACTAGAAGAGATCTGAATACTCTTAGAAAAAGCAAAATAGAAAAAGATGCTATGATAAGACTTGTTGCTACAGCACTAAGTACTTGATGATGCCAGACTTTGGACTTAATCAGAGTGCATTTCTGCAGTCTAGGACAGTTATACAAACCCTCCAGACATTGTATTTACAGGACTTATTAATACAGGGATCCATATCCTACCACAACTCTGCTGGAGTTAACAGCATGGTGGAGTAGCTCCCTCTAACATCCTCTCTTTCTTTTTGTGTAGAAGCTAGTAGTTCTAAAAATATTTTCCTGGAAGAGGTTAAAACAGTTATTATATATCAATTGACTTTAAAGTATGGTTATGTAAGCCAAGCTTGCATGCTAATATCACACAAGGCAGAAAGCAATAAAACAGGTCACTTGCTTCCTTGGGCATCTGGTAGAAACATAAGGAAGCTCTTGATTCAGTAATATGATTCCTCAGATTCCAGGAGTCCACCTGTAGCTGGCCTTCCAGTGCAAGTGCCCCGCTGAACTTTCAAAAGGGCACATCTTCCTTGCCAATAGAAAAAAATGACAAAAAGAAACAAAACAAAGCATCCAAAATTCAAAGAGATACACCAGGTGCCTCAAATTGTGGTAGTTCATGTCTTGAAGAGAATATATAATATTTCAAAATATTATATATACATATATTTCAAATAGTACAAAGTAAGTATAGATCCAAATTAGAAGACAGTTGATCATTCTTCATAATCCCCAAAATTTTCATTGAGAAAATCTTTTAAAAACCCAATTTCCATGATGTTGGTCAAAAACTCTGGTCTTCCCACTATAGGATATTTCATGACACACAGTTAAAGTACTGTGATTATCTGGTAATGAGTCAAAGTGCAAATAAATCCATTTGGCTTGTAATGTGTTAGATGTTTTAAATTCTTAAAATGTATTTTCCGCAGAGTTGATTTTCCTGTATTACTACAACAAATGCTTCTGTTAGGTTCTTGGGTGGATCTGTAACCAAAGAAAGAAAGAAATTTCAGGGAAAAAAGAAAAAAAATGAAGGCACAAAAAAAGATGATCAGGCAGAAAATTGAGAACATCTTGAATTTTTAGGATGTTGCTTCTTTCAAGCGACCTGAAGTAAAAAAATGTTAATGTCTAGAACAATAGTTCTCAAATGGTGATCAAAGAACATCGACAGACTACTATATATTTTATCAACTTATTAAATTAATTTTGCCACACTAAGGAGACAGAGTTTTAAAGCCAGGTGTGACTGGAACTGATTTCATAGACATGAGATCTGTGCAGTTACACAAAGCTCTGTGCTGAAAAGGTCCCATACTTGGGTTAATGACCTCTTGCTGCCATCTTGAAATTATTAGTTTTTATTTTGGGCTCGGTTCTGCATATAACACTGTCAGTACTGTGTCTGATGAGAACTTGAACTGAGTAGGTCATTCCATGTTTTTGTCATGTTGGCCTGTGGTAAGGTATAGAGGAGTGGCATAAGGTGAACTCATTGCCAAAGTATTTAGAGCATAAGGCATTTTTCTTATAAATTCAGTGCCTGAGTCCAGGGAGTATGTTTAGGAGTCTACTGGAAGTTTTCAGGGCTGTGTAGAAACAATAATAAAAGTCTATATTTAAAAGTTGGTTGGGCCAGGAGTAGAATATGTGAGAAATCTTCACACACTTTTTAATCCTCTCTGTATATAAATAATAAATGCTGCCAAGCCTTTGTTACCTACATTCTAGTGGCATATATAACCTTCTGATTTTATTGTCTTCTTTTTCACCAAAGGAGAGAGAAAGTGATATTCACAAAAATTGCTGTTTTTTAAAATTTCTAGCATCACACCATTCACCCTTGGGTCCTGTCCCCCAGGAAGACCAGGGATTCTGTCACGTCTACCATCACATCCTCAACAACTTTACACATTAACTTTACAGAGTAGAGGCTTAAACATATTAATTGGCTAAAGAAATGGATAAGTTCACTTGGAGCCATGGGCAATTGTGATATTGTGCTAGCATAAGCTGGTTCATTTTTTTCTTTCTGCAATCTCCAGATACCCATCCATCTCTTTCTTTCTTCCTGCCTCTTGCCACACCTCCAACTCCTCTATTTTAAAGACAGTTGATGCAAAATGGAATAGATCATGATTGTAAAGGCTCTCAGAGCACTTAAGACCTAGTGGGATTTTGATTGAAAAAACTAAAGGATGTCAAAGCTAGTACTTTACCTTCAGTAATAAAAATATATATATCATGGAGATAAGCAAATTCAGAATCACCATTAGTGGGATGGGCCCAAGAGACTAATAAACAAATGATTGTGGTGGATTTGTGTTGAGTTGATCACAGAAAACAGGGAATTGGCCAGATGGCATTAGTGGTTATGTGTGCAATCTGAGTTCTGTCCATTCACCTTGTTAGGGGATGAAAGTTGATTTCTAATTGTGCACTAACTTTATTTTATCACTTTCTGAAAGACATTAACATACTGAGTTGTATAAAGCCCAAAGTTGCACAATACTTTCCAAGGTACTATACCAAATTGTGTTCTATTTTAATCTGCTTATTTTTCTTTTCAAGTGACTTTGATTTTCTCCTCATTTCATTTTCTTCTTCTTATCCCCAAACAACCAATGTTCACTTTTTACCTGTGAATTATTACAGCTTTGTCAAACAACTTATTTCCTTTATGGAGAGGTCTGTCTTTCTAAAGAAAGCCATTGTTACTGAATACACACTATATAGATTTGTTCCTGGATGTATGAGCTATTGCCTTTCAACTTTCAAACTTATACTTTTATATAAGTTTAAAGAAAAAAAAAACCAATAGGTATCTAAAACCATAGGAAAAGTTCTCTAGTTAATATTTAAGTACATTAGTCTTGCCGTAAACTACCAATGAAGTAATTTTAATAAAATAATTGAAACAATGATCAAGCAGGGACAGGGTTAAAATTTAGCCATGGCACTTCATCCAGAAAACCAAGCACCTCTTCAGGAGGGTGTCACCAGCTTTATTCTACTGGAAGCTCCCTATAGGTGGCATTCATTTAGGAAGCTTTCTCTTTCCCTAAGATTTATTCCTTCAAGTTTCCTAAAAGGAAAGCCTTGTCTAATTCTATTTATTTTCCTTCTTTGTGTTATATTGTCACTGAGATCAAATTTCCTAACATTTATCATTTACCATTAGATTGTGGCCTCTTACCTCGGCTACTTCTCAATCTGGGGTGTCTGCATGTCTGAATAAAACAATGAATTTCTACTCTCTACCCTTTTCAAAAAAACCCATGAGAATATGAATTAGATTATACTTTGAGGTGTCTTTCATCTACATTTCACAGACTGCTGAGAATTTTGGTTTAGGAGGATTATTTGGGAAGTAATCTTTCTAACAGGAAAGTTTTTAAAAACCTACATAGGGAAAAACAATGACGTGCCAGGAATGTTTCTTGCAAAATCTCTTTACATTGAAGTTAATTTTAAAAATAATGTATAAAGGAAACTCTCAGTTTGTCATTAACAATCTGGGTATGTTTCTTTATTTTTTCCCCCAAAAACATTCTCTTTGAAAATTTGAATAAATCTTATGCATAAGAACAAGAAAGGTAATTTATCTTTATTTTCCCTTTCATCATAATAGAAACTTGAAAAATTTTTTTATCCTAAAGATTACCTCTTAGGTAAAAACAGAAAAATAAAAACATGTTACTCAAATTGAAGTACTTCTGTGAATTAAACTCTTTCAAAATTTAACTTGGTAGACTCAGTGTTTGAAGTGGGTAGACACATCATTCTCTAATGGGGAAAATACATAGGGCATACTAGAAAAACTGATATAAAACATATTCTCAGAGCATATGATCTAAAGACTGTTGTTGCATGTCATTTATACATAATGGAAAGATCCTGTATGTATCATCTGGACTTAACTGGTGCCTTTGTATTTTAAAGTGTTTATTTTATTATGCATTTCTTGATAAAAGTGGAGGGGGGGCAGAAATTGTAAGTCAGTAGAAATGTCTGGGTCCTCTAAAAATTTAAAATGTACAGCTTTTTCTAGTGTTTTCTTTTTCCTTCTCTAAAGACAGACTTGAGAATTCTCAGTTGACTGACATGTCCCTCAAAAGCTGTAGAATAGTTTCTCATTTCCTTGCTTGAATTACATACACACATCAGAACAGGTACATCTTTGCTTTCAAACCCAAGGCAAGGGAGATTTATTTCTTTTCTACACTCAACTGTCTGGGCTACATTCAGCCCACCTAGGGCACTAGCAGACACAGTGTGCTCCAGCCTCTATTATCATGATCAGATACTGCACTGCACTTCTGTGATGTTGAAAAATATCTAGGATGTATTTACTACATGCTCTATGCTTTAAAAATATACTCTACAGAGGACGAATTGAAGCAAGTCACATAGGTCACATAAAGAGAGCATCAACAATTTCTGTGTTTTGTTTTTGTTTATGTTCTAGCTTCCAAAGAGTCTCCTCATAGGTACTCTTAGAATTTTACCTATTTAAATCCTGAAATAACTTGACTTGCATGTTGCTCTTTATTGAGTTTCAAGTCTGGAGGCACCATAAGAGCAGGGATTACCATCAATAAAAGGTAATCAGTTATCATTTGGAATAGAAAACAGAGTTTAGCAGAAAATACAGGGGTAGGCAGAAGTAGGTTTATAGTTGTAACACACATAAATAATACAATAATCAATAAATAATAATGCAAGAATAAACTCTGTTCCATGTACTCACAACTGTAAACTACCTTTGCCCACCCTGTAAATCAGCAACATGTTTAAAATAATGTTGATCAGATTTCAATCATACTGGCCATAATTCAGGGTAGTTTAAAAGTAACTTGTAAGAGCTTCTTCAAATTACTTAGTAAAATCATTTTCTGGCAAATTGCAACGAAAGGAAAACCTGAAATCCAAATGGTACCAGGTAATTAAATCGATAATTTCTGTGGATAATTTGCAGAAACTGGGCTTATTTCTTTAGGTGTTTCATTAAAATGAAATAAAATAATACAAGCTGAACTTCTTGGGTAGTTAAAAATGTATGTTAAACTTGGATGGTTCAGAAATCTCTTGGTTGCAAGCCAGGGAGGTATGGCCATTTACTAGCTAAAGCGATTAATATAGGAAACTAAATTTGACATGCAAACATCTCAACCCATTTTATATGTGAAAAATTAAGCACTTAACATGATATGAAACATTATTTTGTTTTCTGCATCACAAAGCTGCAAGAACCAATTTTAATTTTTGAAAAGATAGTACTAAAAATCAAGTTATGATTCATAATACAGGAATTGGAATCAGAATTGCTTTTTTTAAGTTTGAGTCACTCTTTTGGAAGATTACAAGGTCAGCACATTGAGATGTATAATTGCTGGAGCTTCCTTTAAAAATATATAATACATTAAGCTATATACAGACACAACAGGGCTGATATTCACATGATGCACATATATGTGGTCATATTGATTGTTAAAATAGTAACATAACCTTGTACTAGTAAATAAATATTGCCTTAAGTGTCATGAGAATCCCACCATCCCCTGACCCCTTTTAGGACTCCTAGGCTTTCTTATGGTCCAGTGTACAGAAGGTCAATGGCTAGCCTAGCTGGACTTCATCCTGCTCTAGCATTATGACACAAATTCTGATGGGTTGGTAGTCTCACAATACAGGTTGGTATACATGTTTAACACAACTTTTGATTTAACCAGAGTAATCAGGACATGATTATTCACATTACAGAAATCTTATATTTCCCTATAAGATCATGAGAGAATTCCTTTAAAGGATCTGTACTTAAATGGAGACTATTTCAACAAACTATATGGACAAATTACACAACATCTTCATTTTATTATCTATTCTGAGCACCATAGATATTGGATGAATTATCCAAATAATTACTTTACTTAAATGTAGCTGTATTTATGAGCCAGTAGCAGAAACACTAAACTGCTCAGTGTAGAAAAGTTAACTTCAATCTAAGTTCTTGTTGGTGGATGAACACTGATCAGGATGGTTAAGAATGCTTTCTATAAGGGGAAGGCTTTTTCTTTCCTGTTCAAAGCTTCCCTGGGTGATCTTTGTACAACACAAAGGAAAACAGTCCAGTTAGTAATATTCGCCAGACATTAGAAATAAGTGAACTTACTCTTGTGGTCTTAATTTTATTGCCTGTAGCGCACATCCATCCAGAATTATCAGGGAGTGTCTTACATTCTTCTCCTTCAAGACAAGGCTCCATCTCACACCACCATTTCCCAATCACGATGGAGGCTGTATAGAAGCAGAAAACAAATGTTTGCATTTGTTCAGACAACCTGGGCATTGCTGTTGTGTTCCTCTGCAGATGTGATTTCTCATTGAAGTGAAGTCCTCTTTAACCATCCATAACTGGCTAAGAACACCATATTTAGAAGAATAATATTTTAATTTATAAGTTTTACAATGCAAATATAATTATGTTCTCTAGTTTCATTAAGCAGCATTTTGTCAACCCCCCCCCACAGTGTGATAGAATTATATGAACTTGAAAGACTTGCCTATTGGAAGACTTTATTTTGTTATTTTTTGTAAACCAAAATTGTTTACTATTTCCAGTGAAGGGGACAAATTTCTAAATGCTGTTCAGAATGACTGAGCTATTCTTTTCAGAAAGGCCAGATAATCCACCCAGCATTAGGGATTACCCCTCAGCCAAGGGCCTTTGAGAATTTTAAAGGCCTACCAAAAGAAAAAAAATGAATTGACTAAAAGTACAAAAGAAAACCTGTAAAATAAAAAAGGAGTAATAATAAATGCAAATATTTGTTTATGGTCAAAATATATTTGATACAGGTTGTGGTTTCTTTTTAATATGTTTGATATCACATGGTTGAGACTTTCAAAAGTTGAGTCCCTGATAAAACAGCCCTGTATTCCAGGGTGGTATCAAGGTTGACCGCAATAGGAAGCTGGCAATGGATTTAGGGAATATATTTATAGCACACTGTTTTTGATAATGAAATTTTATAAAACCAATGATTAGATTCACTCAGTTCAAATCAAGATGCTCACATTTTTCTTGATGCCTTGGGTGAAAAGTTATTTCTGTACATGCATCAGTTATTTCCGAAGCTCCTCAAGGCATTAGTTTTACACAAATGCTCCTCAACTTTTTCAACAAAGGCTTTTATTGTGATACTTTCTGATTGAATGTTTTTACATTGGGCTAGAAATCTAGTCCTTTACATCACCATCATTCGATTCCTGACATGGCAAAGATGAGTCTCCACCATAATGTTTCATTCTCACAACAACAAGGAAACCAAAGGCTGCCTGTTAACATCACAGAGAATTAATAAGAAAATGGGATGGAGCACCAGCCAGTGTGGCTGTTTGTTGGGCTTCATCCCACAAACTGAAAGGTCACCAGTTTGATACCCAGTTAGGGCACATGCCTGGGTTGCAGATTTGTTCCCTAATTTAGGCACGTACAGAAGGCTGCCAATTGATATTTCTCTCTCACATTACTGTTTCTCTCCCTCTCGTTTTCTCTTCTTCCCTCTACTTCTAAAATAAAAATAAAATAAAATAAAACAGAGTGGAGAAAACCCCATGGTGATGCAGGAGCACATTAAAATGCTCTTTCCATATTGCCTTCATTAGAGGATTAGCTTGCTGACTTAGAAGCAGAGTAGTTCAAACACCCAGATATCTATCTGCATTCAGGTTTTCCTCCTATACTTTTCCTACTTAAGTTTTTCTCGCCTTCAGAATGCCATTTTCCTCAATCTTTGAGTAAAAATCGCTATGCAGGGTTATATATGCAAAATGATGTCTACTCTAGTGTATGGGAAGTTAAGGCTTTTTTAATTAGTAATTTTGTTTATATTTGACTGAAGCTTTACATGTGGATCAGACCAAATCATGTAAAATGTAACTTCATTAGATATGCAACCAAGTATAGGATGTAAAATCTTTTAAATAGTTTTATCCATATGCAAGTCAGTGTGATATTTTCATAAAACACAGTAATAACAGAAAACACAAATCCTCCACAGGGTATAAAATTATTGTGAGAGTTCTGAATGTTTTCATTTTTAACAGCAGTGCTGTGTACCTGGGCAGGGCGTAGGGAAAGATTCTGGTCATGGGTAAAACAGTACTTATTTATGTGAATTGATAGGTGACAATATTAAATAAGAGAGGCGTATATTTTGGCAACAAGAAAAACATACACAGTGCTGAAAGGGAACAACAGTAAATCACACAGCTTTGGGTCATGTAAGAGAAAAGCCAGTGTCGGCAGTGTTTATTGAGAGGCTGCAATCTGAAGTTCCCTTTTGCTAGTGCTCAACCTGCCATATTAGCTATGCTGTCCCCTTAAAGCCTGTCTAATATTTCAGTATTAATGCCCTGAGTCTACACCTTTGAGAATGGAAACCCTCTGATCTTAGCTCTGAGGGGTAACTCTCTTTACCAACAGTCTCCAGTTAAGCATTTCATCACCCTTTCCTCATTTTTTCTGCATGGGAAAAATGAATGACAGCCAGCTAGGGTTCAGCCTACTCGCAGAGGACACTGTTCCTTTTTTTTAGGTTTCCCTTTGCCCTCTCCAAAGTGATCTACTTCATTGCAAGCTAACAAAAGAGTTCCTCTCTCTGAAACATGATTATCTTCTAAATGACAATGTACATAGTCAGAAAAAGAATACATTTCAAAACCCACATATCCCCTGTAATTCAAGGTTGTAAAGATCTGCTGATTCATAGGGAAAAATAAAAGGCTTTCTAAGAATAAAAATGTCTTCAGCCTTGCCTATACACTCTAAAAATTCCCATTACACTTGCCTCTCTAAGTAGAGTTTTGTGACTTGGCACTGCCTCCGGCTTATCTAACCCAGTTCATTCTTGCTTTTCTAAAGATGCCATTGCATTTATTTTGTTTCTGATTTGTGCACTACATGGCCATCTTTATATATATATATATATATATGTATATATATACACACACATATATATATCTTTGTGCTTGAGATAAAACATTAATCTTCAATTCTAATCATTTTCATAAACTTGTATTTGCTGAAATATCTTTAAAAACTCACAAAGAAGCCCTGGCTGGTGTAGCTCAGTGGATTGAGCACAGGCCTGCGAACCAGAGGATCGCAGTTCTATTCCCAGTTAGGGCATATTCCTGGGTTGCAGACCGGTTCCCTGCAGGCCAGTTCCCAGCAGGGGATGCATGAAAGGCAACCATACATTGATGTTTCTCTCCCTCTCTCCTTCCCTTCCCCTCTAAAGATAAATAAATAAATAAAATCTTCAAAAAAATAAATAAATAAAAACTCACAAAGAGAGGATTTAAAAATTTCTTCCTCTTCTTCCAAAATGGAAGCTACCTAAAAACTTCAGATTAATAAAAGAAAGTCATATTAATGTTATTTAAGTATTTTTATAATATTTTTGTGGGTACACTTATAATAAGAAAAATTTAAATACTTAATTTTTTAGATGTCTTAAATTATAATGTCAGTACAATAATAAAAAAGATAATTGACTTTTTGTATGTTTCATATGCTTCTGTACTTGGTGCTTTGAGAATATTATATCACAAAACCCATGTTTTCCATCAATATAATGTCAACTCATTCTAGTTTTGTGTTCAGGATTCAAAGAACTACAACAAAGCATTTATTGACTTCTGAGTGAATGAATAAATTCTTGCTGCTATATTAGTATAGAAATAAATCCCATGTCAACATACTTATGGAAAAGTAATATTGAGGGTACATTTGGTTTCTTATAAAATTAAACTTACTTAAAAATAAATACCTTTTTCAAAAAAATAAATAAATACCCTTTTCTCCACAACCTCTCCAGCACTTGTTTTTTGTTGATTTGTTTATGATGGCTATTCTGACTGGTATGAAGCAGTATCCCCTTGTGGTTTTAATTTGCATCTTTCTGAGGGCTAGTGATGCTAAGCATCCTTTCATATGACTGTTTGCCTTCACTATGTCCTCCTTAAATAACTGTCTGTTTAATCATTTGCCCATTTTTAAAATTGGATTGTCATCCTAGAGTAGAGTCATGTGAATTCTTTATATTTATGTAGTGTGCTGTTGGTGGGAATGCAGACTGGTGCAGCCACTGTGGAAAATAGTATGGAATTTCCTCAGAAACTAAAAATGGAACTGCTTTTTGACGCAGCAATACTACTGCTGGGATAATACCCTAGGAATCCTGAAACACGATTCCAAAAGAACTTATATACCTCAATGTTCATAGCAACACAATTTACAATAGCCAAGTACTGGAAGCAACATAAATGCCCAGCAGTAAATGAGTAAATAAAAGTACTGTGATGCGGTTACACAATGGAACACCATGCAGAAAAAAAGAAAGAAAGAGCTCCTACCCTTCAGTGCAGCATGGATGGAATGGGAGAGCATCACGCTAAGTGAAATAAGCCAGGAGGTAAAAGAAAAATACCATATTATCTCACCTATAAGTGGACCCTAATCAACAAAACAAACAAGCAAGCAAATTATAACCAGAAATACTGAAATAAAGAACAAACTGAAAGTAACCAGAGGGGAGGGGGGAGAAGGATAGTGGGGGGAAACAGGGGAAGGTCCGTCAAGGAACATGTATAAAGGACACATGGACAAAACCAAAGGGAGTAGGTTTGTGGTTGGGAGGTGGGATGGGTGTGGGAGGTTGTGTGGTGGGGTGAAAATAGAGACAACTGAACTCGAACAACAATAAAAATAATAATAATTTGGGCAAGAAGGCAATGTATATTACACTTAGTTATTCTTAGTTTGAGCTACACATATCTGGGTTTCATAAAATTCCCACTAGCGAAAAGTCTTGAAGACATGAGAAAATTGTGAGGTAGATATATAATTTTGTAATGACTTTTCTCCAAAAGAACCAGTTAATTAAATATCAGCTGCAAAACAGATTCTCTCTTATCTGTGGTGATTACAAAAGACGGTTTTAAAGTCATTTTTAACCCTGAGGTCCTGGGATTCACACAACGACTGTGCCATTTTCAGGAAAATAGCTGATCTTCAACTTTTTAAAGAATGTTCATCTTCCCTTGAGAGATTCTTAAAATCACTAAAGCCACTTTAATCATGTATCTTGATTTTACTCTTATACCAGGTAACATTGTTGTAGAGAAAAAACGAGAGACTGAAAAGGAGAATCTATCCATCTTTCAAAGATAAATCGTAAATAGGACAGAAATCCTTTTTATTTTATTGTTGTCTTTCACTTTGAGGCATT